TAAACTTAAGTAGTTGAGCTTGTCTCTGCTTGATTCTCTCATCATCAGTGCCCTGTGACATGTTCTGCTCTCTTCACAATAGAGTGTCTGATTCAGCATTCAACTTCTCTGACTGGTAATCAATTCTGAAGTTGAATCAATAGAGAATATCCATTCAACATAGCTATCTTTTATTTAGTCTGTGTGTAGTCATGAAGTATTTCAGATTCTTATAATCTGTGAGAATCTTGAATTTCTTTACACTTCATAGCTCAGCATTTCATTCCTTTAAACACTCAATTATCACTAATAACTCCTTATCATGAATCTCATAGTTGCATTCCACAGGTGAATGCTTGTGAGAGAAGAAGACATATGAGTGTAGAATGCTCTGCTCATCATATTGTAGCAGTACTCTTCCTGAGATGTAATCTGAGAAGTTCATTTTCAATATAGTCTCACAGTCAAGGTCAAATTGAAGCAGGATTGAAGCAAAGATAAACATTGATTTTAGATACTTAAAAGCTTCTTCAGCCTTGCTCATCCACAAAAAAGAAACATTTTTGCATGTAAGAATCATCAGTGAGGTCATGATCTTTGAGAAATTTCTAATAAATCATCTATAGAAATTGACAAAGCTTAAAAATCCTTATACATCTTTAAGAGTAGTAGGTGTTGCTTATTCCAAAACAACTTTAATCTTCTTCAGATCCATTCATATACCCTTGCCTGCTTTAATGATGAATTCAAGATATTTTGTGCTGTTTATCTCAAACTCACTCTTTCTGATGTCTGCCTGCAGGCCTACTTTCTGTAGACACATAAGCACCTTTTGTACATGCTTATGATGCTCTCATAAGCTTCTTGAGGAAAATATCAAGATGTCATCTAAATAGACTTAGCAGAAGTCGTCCAAATATCTACATAATGCCTAGTTGATATATTTTTGAAATGTGCTCAGAGCATTGGCCAAACTAAAGGGTGTAACTAGTCACTCAAATAGCCCATATCTGGTTCTAAAGACTGTCATCCACTCATCACCTTCTGTGATTTGAATTTTGTGAAAAGCTACAATAATGTCCAGCTTAGTGAATCATTTAACCTGTCCAATTCACTGTATAGTCTCACTAATTAATGATAAATAATATCAATTCTTTCAGATGATTTTGTTAAGAGCTCAATAGTTCACACAGAATCTTAGCCCACTCTCAGACTTCTTCATGAATAGTATGAGAGCAGCTGCAGAGGAGTTGCTCATTCTAATAAAACTCTTATCTAAATAATCTGTAAGAGTCTTTCACAAAGCCAGCAGTTCCTCTTGAGATATATTATATAACAGGTCTCAATGGGGTTGTTCTATACTACTATTAGCCTTTTTAATCAGTTCAATCCCATGATCTCTACCTGGGCCACAAAGTGGGGGTAGAGTGTTGACGGCTTCCTTATCAAATATGTTCAAAAACTCATGATAATATTCAGACAGCTTTTCTCTAGAGTCAATCTTTGATTTCACTTCTAGAGTCTTTTGAATGTCAGTCAAACTGACAGTGAAGATCTTGATATTTCACTTCTCTCAAGTTTTCACAAGTCTAGAGAAGCTTACAACAGAGATGGGAATTACATCAGCTTTTGTATTTGAACTAGACTCTACCTTTATGCCACTTTCTTCAAATCTCACAATTCTTTGATGAGGAATCACAGTTATCTTTTGCTGGGCCAGCCAGAGATCATCTAGATACATATCATGATCATGTAACTCATTCACCATGTAGAGAAAGGCCTGTTCAGTTATGTGACCATCTATATCAATTCAAATGCCAGTCACTATGCTTGTGAAGAGTCTCATAGAGTCTTCAAAGCTGGTCATTTTAACAGGGGGAATTTCAATGCACAGAAGCTTATGCTTATTAATATAGAATTGAGAAATAAGATCATAGATATTACATTCACTGTCTATCATTGCTCTAGTCAAAAAGACATTATCTACTAGAGCATCAACAGTGAAGAGTTTGAATATCATCTTAGATTTAAATCTTCCTCATTGCTTTCTCATAAGCTTCTTATTTTGCTTCTTTCAGTATCTTTTAGTTGAAGCTATTCTTTTCTCAAATCCTCACTCATATCCACATTGTCATTGTCCAGTACCAGCTTGAGAATCATCTTAGCTATCATGAGAGTGGTAGAGTGTCTGAGAGATTTGAACAAGCAGCTCTTAATCATATGATCTCCAGCTTCACATCTCAGGCACAGGCCTTGCTCTCTTCATTGATTAACCTCTGTCTGATTTATCAATTTGATATGGCAGGCACTTGAAGTCACAGCATCAGGAGAGAGATTCATCAGATCATCAGTGGAAGCTTGAGACTGGTTTCATCAGTCAAGAACAGCATGACAAAGTAGAGAGTGTGAATTAAATGTTGTATGATCTGAAGAAGATCTGCTCTCATAACATTTAGATTATTGCTTTAAAGTTTTAAGCTCAGAGAGTTGATGATCAACTAATCTAAGCTCCTTGTAGTAATTCTTGTAGAGAGACAGTTCTCTTACACTCATCATGCCTTCCCTCAGCTCCATGCTTAGAGTGAATTTCAAATACCTTTTTTTAATGTGATCATCTCATTCATGACCACCAGCTTCCAGCAATAGCTGATTAAATTTGAGCAGAAAGTCAAAGAGAGCTCTTCTACTCTGTCATAGATTGTTGAGCTTTTGCATAGCCTTTTCCTGTCATGCAGAATCACTAAAGAGCATGTGTGTCTACTTCAGTAAGCTCTCTACTATGAAGTTGATCTTGTTCTTATTATTCTCAACTCAGAGATAAACTCAAGCTGCTGCCATTTCTTTCAGTATTAAGTACACATATCAAGCACATTTCTCATTATTACCTAAAGCTTTCTCATCAATCTTAAGTTTTGATTGAAGCTTTAGCTCTCACTGAGAGTAGTGCTTCAGATTAGAACTATTATACTTCTTGCAGTTCAGTAGCTTAATCTTTAGTCTTCTGACTGCAATGAGTGATTGCAGATTCAATTGAGAGAGAGTTGATGTCAGAGTGTTCAAAGCTTGTTGTAGATTAGCTATTTCAACTTGCTGAGCTGCTATTAAATTTCTGTTCTCACACTGAACCTGTTCCTGCTGTTGAAGAAAGGTCATTCATTGTTGTTCAAAGCTGCTGAGAACATCCCTGCTCATTGCTTCATGTTGATTCATTTATGTATTTGTTGTACAAGTCTGTCACTTTATCTCATTTGACTAGACATTTTCAATGTTGCTCATTCATTTGTTAGCATGATTGCTAACCCAGTCTATTCATATACCAGTGCTATCACTGAACTTTGTGATGTAGGATTTAAGACTCTCAATAGTCTATCATATGTCACCACATTTACTGAGCTTCATGATACAGAATTAAGACTTCCAGTGGTCTATCAATGAAAGGAGTGAAGCAATTCATAATGTAAAGAGTTAAGCTCTAAGAATTAGAGGCTAGTCCTCCTATATAACAAGGATGAATTGCTTGAGAAAGGGAAGAAAAGAATGAGATGAGAACTCAAGCTTAAGCAAGCTCATGTAGCATGATCACGTGCGCACATGCAAATGATAGCTAGGCTGAGTCAGCCAGCCAGAGCAAATCTAGGGGTTCAACCCCTTATAGATGATCAGTGCTACAATTATGAAAAAGCAATATCAGAATATATTCAACATCAATGAGATAGAGAAGTAAAAGTGCAAGAGATCTAGGCACTGAATTGGGCAGAAAGTAGGAGGTTTAACTAGTGAAAAAGTTCAAAGTCTTCTAGTAGGCCCTATAGAGCCTGCAGAGCCTGTTGAACAGCTAGTTTTTCAATTCTCCAAGCCTTCAGCTGCTGAGCCCACAGCACATGTACAAGCACCATGAAGATACAGCAATTGTGGAATGCTTGGGCATACAAGACTAAAATGCTCTCAACCAAGTGTAATTTAATTTAATTTAATTGAGCTTTGTTGCGTTGAGATAATTTGAATTTAAAACTACCTAGTTGGGATACAGTGAATTTGCTGGCTGACTCAGTGTGGTGGCCAACTCAGTGTGGAATTACGTTAGTTATTATCTTGAGGCTTGGCTGACAATTTCAACAACTTCTTTAGAAGTTACAGAATGCTCTGTTCACAACCAAGACTTTGGACGGATTTTCTATTTGTTCACCGCCATGACACCTCCTAACACAAGTCTAAGCATATATATATATATATATATATGCATATTTTCGAATTGGAAAACAAGGGTTTTAGATTATTAATGACAATGTTCCGTTTCTAGCAAAACGAACTCCCAGAAACATACAAGAGACAATGACGGTAACAATGGTTTTATGCTGGTATTCAATAACTCTTCCAACACTCTAGCAGCCAGGCAACTTGTTGTAACACTATATTCAAAAAATATTACCAACATACATTTTTCTTCTCAAACCACTATCACAAGTTGCTAGATATACGTCTTGAATCGATACGAAGATATGGAATCATACCAGGCAATGGGATCAACAACACAATACGTGGAACAACATTTTAGCCGCCAAAAAGGACACCATTTGAACTGTTCCCGAAAGCTAATTGACAAGGGAAATTTTCCTCACATCCCCTGGGCATCTGCGAGTCTATCGAAGAAAGACACACCCCAAGGGTAGGTGTTCGAAGTTAATACCCGCACCTCTAGCCACTAAGGATTATTTTCCATATCAGCCATTTTCACCATGGTTAAGTTACCTTCCATCTTCCATGTATCCTAGCAAGTGTCATGCAATCGTGGCTCAGCCTGCAGCGAGAGGAAACGTATAATTCTTATCATGATGTGGCTGATCCATCAAACCACAAGAGGAATGAATCACAGGATAAGTTGGAAGATATTCTGCCTCCCGTATCTCACATTACTAATTAAACTGGTGATATAATTACACCGGGCTTCAATCCGGAAGGTATGGAGAAGTCAATTTGGCGCGACATGTTCATTCCGGGGCGTTTTGCCCGCCAATCATAACGGTCCTATAGCTCAGTTGGTTAGAGCATGGTGCTAACAACTCCAAGGCCGTGAGTTCGACCCTCATTCGCACCATCGGAACCTCTTTATTCTTCTGTTGTTGAGTCAAAAACGTCTTCTCAAAGAGTCGTTTAAATTTGGTATTATTTTTTCCCCCCCCGGATCATGACGATTTGCAAGAATCTACTACCTAGGTCCTGACCTAACCGCAGCCATCTACGTAATCTACGACCGTGAGTGATACACCTTTAGAGGGAGTCTACCTAAATGGAAACTTGTGTATTCTGGTCTTGAATAGGGCCTGGAAGAGTTCAGAAAAATTCGCAAACCAGCTATCGCGTGAAGAAAATGCTGCCAGTTCGCGGAAAAATTTCGACTACTCAATTTGCCTTTGAACTTCGGGAAAGCCTATCCCTTGCTTGGGCTACGATATCCAGAACAGCATGGCAAAACAATGAGTATGAAGAAGTCAAAAATATATGATCTCAGGCTTCAGCATGATTCGTCAAGTTGTTTTGCCAGAGCGTCTGCTCTCATTCAGAGATATCTCGAATCTGAAGTGCATGAGACATACATTGAAAGCATAATCGCCGCTCTTCTTGCAATGAACTGGCTCCAATGCGTATCTAATAATAGTCTTTTGAACTGTCTCAGAAATATTGGCTTCCCCGACTGCGAGCAGATTACCTTTACCCTCTGTATGCATTGCCGAGCCTAAGCTTTTGTTTTAGGACTTGAACAAGCAGCTGCCTATGATGCAGTCCATGTGTCGTTGGAAAACTGTACAATATAAAGCAATTCCATCAAGAAAAATATCCCTGTTAACCTGACAGGTGGAGGAAAATGCAACGTGCAAGTTGCAACAACCACGAACCACCACTAACCGCCACCTAAAAAGTAACAGCGGTTACCCTATTATTCAGGTGAATGGTCCCAACGAGGGTCGAACTCGCGACCTTGGCGTTATTAGCACCACGCTCTAACCAACTGAGCTATAGGACCCATACAGCTTTTCAAGGGCCAAGCCCTTATTGTATATATATACGTTCAGGCCAATGTTTGAAAAATTTAGGGGAAGGATTTCTCTTCCTGATAAAAGCTTAAATGTCATCTCCCAAACCTCGATAGCCTAAGATAGATAACATAGACTCTTTGGTTCAAGAGAACACGTATTTGGTTCCCAGGCTTCAAGCTTTATCATTAATGTTCAACTGTTGCCGAATATCCACTTGACAATATGCACTGTCATCTGAATCTTTCAAATTTTCAAAGCTGAAGAATAATGCATTGGAATGTTTTGATGTTCATTTTCACCAAATGGCCTCCGTATTCCTTTTTACTAGGGTATCCATGAAGCTTGGCCTTCATCCGGCCTCTGAATGTCTCATTCCGTCTCTGCCTCTCTTTCTGCTCTGTATTTTACTCCGTAGTTAGGTTACGGATTATTTGCCCACGGCTCGTCGACAGTGGAATTGGAGGAGAGTACGTAGCGAAGAACAACATTGTCGTGGTGGAGGTATCAATTACTTATCCCATTCATTTAAATAGAATCTCCGCAGATGAGATCATCGACTGACAGCTACTCCGGAGCTCATTTATTGTATGCTGCGCTCACTTTCTTCTTTGAGCCAATTCATTCTCTCTCTCTCGCTTTGACGAAAGCTTCTCAGATGGAACCCGAAAACCTAAATGCCTAGAAAATTTTCTTTTATCGACGGCACCATACTCCGTACGTGATCTCAGGCATAATAAGAGACCTCTCACGATCTAATATCATTCCAGCGCATTCTAATGAAACCCCAGATGTGGCAATGGTACGGGGATAAACAGATGTATGATAACTCAATGAGAGAAATGAAAAGATATGATCCTACAGTGAGGCGGAGAGTTTTAAAATATTCATTAACAGAAACATACGCAGCGTAGAAATTTCCAAGGTTATTGCTGACGATCTTGAACTAAATAAACCAATCAAGTTCCTGGCTTGGCATCAAACTCATCCACAGATAAGAAACGGTTCCCCGGACAATTCTGACAATGCAGTCCATTCTACATCACCAAAACCATAAGATGACAACTGCTCTTCTAACCGGGAAGGTGACACATCTCCCGTAGGTACCCTCCTAGCTGGGTCCGTGGGGAGGAAGAGAGCGGTGAGACGTTTGAACGCTGCTCCCGTATAGCATAGAGAGGTTCATATCTTCTTCATCTTCTGTAGTAGTTGGATGATGTTGCAATATTGGGGGGGGTGCATTTTTTTGGGGGATCCGGATGTCCCAGCCGAACCCCTTTGCTGTCAACTCCCCGAATACACATCTATTCACCCGAGAGGATGGGTTCGCCATTCGTTCCATCCATGGAAGGCATGTTAATCATTCTTGTATCTAGCTAGGTAAGATGTCAGGGTTTCATCCATAGGTCTTCGCTCAACTCCATTCAGCCGATGGCCACTCTACCGGCGATGTAGGTATAAGTCCGTTCCAATGTTGCTCCTAGGCTGAACTAACGAGCGACATGCTTGAAAGCATAGTACATGTATGTGTGTATGTATTGAAGCCTCACCATTGGATCTGAGGGTGCACGGAATGGGAATTTATTTATATGGGAATCTTGATATTTAAAACGTCTTGTGCGCTGTACCATTTTTTTGTTATAATCAGTGGAAGAGATCTTTATATATTCTTCGTTGTATATACTTCTTCACTCCTGGTTCCGCCTTCGAATCTATCTATAGCAGGTGGAGTAAAGTAAGATGGTGTAAAACGTGGACGGGGATAACCTCTCAACAATAAGAAATGTGTGGTATATGATTTTATGCCTGAACATACGGCAATATCTTCTGCCAATTCAGATGAGAAATGTAATTTACCCAACTCAGTTTCCATGTACAAAATATCTACCCCGAATTCAAGTGACATTGGCATCGCCTTAAAAAGACTATATTGCGGGAACTTATAACGTAGGGTAGTTAATATGCAAAGCCGGCAGGGAATTATTTACATCCACACTATACTTTATTTAAAACCTCTAGTTATAACATATCTCAACAATTTCATAATATAACTATATGATTCATTTTTGATTTAGGTTTATCAGTATTAGTAGTATTCTCACATTCTATGATTTTAAAAATAAATACGATTTCAAATATCTTCAGAATTATTCATAATTTCAAGCATGAAACATAAATATTTCTTAGTAAGTTGTTGTGAATTATACATTGAAAACTTGTAAAAAGTGGGGCGTTTGTCAAGACTTTGGTTAAACTAACCTAGTTTAAATAGTTAACTAGTTATGAACGTTGGTGATCTAAAATAAACACAACTCAACAAATACATCTTTATCTAACCCCGCTACCCTCAAAATTAGGATTAGGGTTAGTTAAGGGTAAGGGTCTGAAAAATATGATAAAATTACCACCATCAATAGCATAAAGAGACGGGTGTGAGAAATGTGCGAGATATATGACTAGTGTATCCGAGTGACAGTTTTAATGTGTCAAGGGCCTGATGGTTTTTCCGGTCGAGATTTAAAGCCAAAATGGTTAACTAGTTAACTGTAGAATATTAGTTAAAGCGTCCCGCTTTGGTGCAGCTTCTTGGCTTGGCTTGCCGCAAGCTCCCAGCAGTACCAGGGGACTCCGCACAACCTTCCCAAACAAAACACGCAGTTCCAAGAGTGGGAGCGGGAACGAACCTGCTGGTGTTAATAATAGAACCTCCTTACTTAATAGTTACCTGAAAGATCTTAAAGTTTTCTTTTCTGCTCAGAGGTGAAACGACGAATTTCTCGGTTGTTTCGGGGCAAGCTATATAACCGTTCGAAAAAGATCAAGTAACCTACTTCTATTCCTGCATGGGCTTTTTGCACATATCTCCCCGTACGGATATTATTATGAAGCCACAGCTGCTCCATGGCGAACAGGATGGCAAAACTGGCGGGAATGGATTGCGAGGGTCCTATACAGATGATATCGAGACTATCAGGGAGCGAGAGTATCCGTGTCTGAAAGGTTTGATATTTCAAATTTTCACCAGACGGCATGTATAGATAGACATGATGCTCAGCTAAATATAGCAATTCAATTTTTTTTTTCCTACTAACTCCACTGGTTCGTGTCACAGGAACAACCTATCTTGACCATGCAGGAACAACTTTGTATCCAATCTCCCTCATCGATGCGTTTTCGCGAGAAATGACGACCAATCTTTTCGGAAACCCGCATTCAGCATCCTCATCTTCACAACTCTCTACGCGGCGGGTGGATGATGCGAGGATACGGGTTCTCCAGTTCTTTAACGCCAGTCCCGATCATTTTGACGTTGTATTTGTGGCTAATGCGACAGCTGGCATCAAACTTGTTGCAGATGCACTCAGAGACTGTGATGAATGCGGATTCTGGTATGGGTACCATGTGGATGCGCATACGAGCTTGGTTGGAGTTAGGGAATTGGCGGCACGGGGACGAAGATGCTTCGTGGACGATAATGAGGTTGAGGACTGGATATCTGACCAACATTCGTCGATAATGCGAAGACCACCCCAAGGTCCTACGCTGTTCGCATATCCGGCTCAATCAAACATGACAGGACGACGTCTACCTCTTGACTGGTGTCGAAAGTTGCGAGTGTGTAACAACTCGAATAAAACCAGAAACATCTACACTCTTCTTGATGCGGCATCTCTTGTCTCAACGTCGCCATTAGATCTTAGCGATCCTGAATCTGCTCCCGATTTTACGACCCTCAGTTTCTACAAAGTATTTGGATTTCCTGATCTTGGTGCTCTTATCGTTCGCAAAGCCTCTGGCCATATCTTCAATAAGCGAAGGTACTTTGGAGGGGGAACAGTGGGCATGGTTACGAGTCTCGAAAATCAGTGGCACGCAAAAAAGTCAACTTCTATCCACGATCAACTCGAGGATGGTACCTTGCCTTTTCATAGCATCATAGCCTTGCATTCGGCCGTTGACGTGCATCAACGAATTTATGGATCCATGGAAAATATTTCTCGCCACACTGGTGCCCTCGCGAAATTGTTATATGACCGTTTATCATCGAAGAGGCATGCAAACGGAACCTTGGTTTGCGAAATGTACAAACATCAGGAGTCTAGTTATGAAGACCGGACTACACAGGGTCCTATAGTTTCGTTCAACATGAAGAACAGCAAGGGTGAATGGGTGGGAAAGTCTGAGGTTGAGAAACTTGCTGCTGTGAAAGGCATCCAGATCCGCTCCGGGACACTATGTAATCCAGGTGGAATGGCATACCACCTTGGATTGAAAGTTGAGGAAATGAAAAGAAATTACAACGCTGGTCAACGTTGCGGAGATGATAATGATATCATCGGGGGCAAGCCAACTGGAGGCTTAAGAGTTAGTCTTGGCGCCATGAGCTCTATTGGCGATGTCAATAAATTCCTCGATTTTATCGAGGTGTTTTACGTGGACAAGTCTAATAACGATGCTCCTTCTGTTTCGCTTGGTTTTGCGCAAGGGGAGGGGTTCCCAACTTCAAGATTTTTCGTTGACAGGCTCTGCGTGTACCCAATAAAAAGCTGTGGCGCATTCACAATCCCCAAAGGCAAGCAATGGGAAATTAAACCAGAAGGTTTAGCGTGGGATAGAGAATGGTGTTTGGTACACCAGGGTACCGGGGTAGCTCTGAGCCTGAAAAAATATCCTCGAATGGCCCTTATCCGTCCTGTAATTGATCTTGAACGAGGTGTTCTGCGAATTTCTCGTGGGATGCTAGGAACGGATCCCCATTGCCTAGAACTACCACTATTAAGGGACTCGGATGATATAACGACAAGGGAACTTTGTGAAAATTCTGTGAAGAAATCCTCTACGGTGTGTGGTGATCAGGTGATTGTGCAGATATATTCATCGCCCGTCGTTTCGGCATTCTTTTCAGACTTTCTTGAAGTTCCTTGCACACTTGCTAGGTTCCCTGCGAATTCATCTATCCGATACTCAAAACCGCAACCACGTTACCAAAAATCCTCTGAAACCAGTCCACTCTCCATTAATATGCCAGGCGCTTTCCCACACACCACATCTTCCCCTACAGTTTCATCTCCACTACACAAAAATCCTATTCTCTTGTCAAACGAAAGCCCTATTCTGCTAATCTCCCGATCCAGTGTAAACAGACTCAACGAAACTATTAAATCCTCCGGAAAGTACACATCCACGGGTACCAAGGCTGTTGCTGCTGATGTATTTCGGGCAAACATAATTGTTGCAGAAAATCCAGTTGCGGTACATCAAAGTGGCAACAGCAACAACGGGGTTCCGACATCTACGCCAACCTTAAGTGCTGAACATCCGTATATTGAGGACGCATGGACCGGGTTCCGGATAAGGGGCCATAAGTTTGACATCTTGGGCTCGTGCCAACGCTGTCAAATGGTTTGTGTAGATCAGTTCACAGCTGTCAGAAGCGAGGAGCCATTCTCAACGTTAGCTAAGACGAGGAGATTTAACGGCAAGGTGATGTTTGGACGACATGTTTGCCTTTCGCCTTCTGTCGCTGAGGTACATGAAGGTATGGGCATGGACGAGGGAGAAAGGGTTATGATACAGACTGGGGATGTGCTTGAGCCATTTTACAATGAAACATTATGATATTTTTGTTTCGTATACGAGTGCATGAATGATACCATACCTGTAGTAATAGTTTACTTCTTAGCTTGTACATAATGGAAGCGACGCCATACTTACAATCTAATTTTACCCTGGGAATATGTAGGACAAGATCAGTATATAGTTCCGTGTATCCGCACCAAGCACTTTAAAAAAACCCAATCGTGACGTATCTGAATGAGGTGGTTCTTGATTTACCACGTTTAATTCTATCTTTCACAAAATATGTCCAAATCCGGGGGATAACAGAGGGAGGAAAGCGAAGAGAAATGTGAAATCCAAAGTTTACAATAAATCAGATGCTGCACCCATATTCATACAAGGCGAAGGGGGGGAATATTGTCTCCATAGACGACATATAAATATTCGCACATACACACAAGCCGCGGCCCCTTACTTCCGTGGATATTTCTTCCACCCTCTTCCGTGACCGCGCTATATGTCAATTAGCAAGATATCCAGTAATGGGGAAAAGGGGAATCCCAGACAAGCAACAACATACCTGTTTCCACATCCTAATCATCTCCGGCATACCCATCATAGCCTTCCTTCTATCCTCCAAACGAGTCTCTATCAAGCGTTCCCATTTGTGACCCTTGACCTTCTGGCCAATACCCGTACCACGAATTCTTAGTCCCTTTTCAACAGCCTTAGTTTCTTTATAAATCGTCGACTTGCGGCTGGGAGGTAATAGTTCCTCAACGCCATACTTCGCAGCCAATTTGACCAATTCGTTCTGCCGTCTGAGGGAAATCATGGCGCCCCGCCATCGGCCTGTTTCGGGGTTTTTATATGGCAGAAATGGGTTTGGGTGTTCTGGATCGGAGCGGAGGAAGGTTTGTGATAGTGAAAAGGAGGATTTGTTTGATTTAGAGGCTTTGACGGAGCGTGATGGGGTATAGGGACTCGGAGCTGGAGCCGGGGCTTCAACGCCCTCTAATTCTTTGGTAGCTCCAAGGGCATGTGCGGAGTAGACCTGTGGAGGGTAGCGGGCAAAGAAATTGCGGAGTCGGATCGGGAGGTTCTCCAATACGCCTGTGGCAGCCTGTTTAGTAGCCATTGGCGCTGTGTTCTGGCTCGCTACCCTCGTATCTGGCTTGAATGTCCGATTTTGATATCGACGTTGAAGGAGGCACTCGGTATGTTTTGGAGAATTCTCCGACAGAACTGAAATCACGTGAACATACAATTGCCCAGCCCTATTTACTTTAGCTATTATAACACGTGGTTTATATTAGCGTCCAATACGGGATACCAAATTTGGTAAAATTAGAACCATTACGGTATTTGCCGTGCCAACCCATGCTAAAAAAGGCGGTATCATCCAGTAAAAATACGGCTTTCTGTGCTCATTAATAATACATAATTAATACCTCGCGCCTACAACTCCGTTTGTTAATTTCTCATCTTCTTTACTGTTAGATTCTCCTCCAGGCGCCCCACTTCGCATTCTATCCATCTCGCCCATACTCAGCCTTTATCCGATCACTGATTCGATCACTACCTGTTGTTTATATACGATTGTGGAGCTCTAGCCTAACTTGTCGACGATATGGCTGACATTACCTTTGGTGGCACGGAGGAGGAGAATGCGGAATTGAAGAAGCTCAACGCGGAGGTGGTAAGTTACTCACTGGTGACTCGCGTGGATTAAGTAACAATACTTGTATTCTTACATATTCTTTGCTTCTGTAGTTGGAAGATCCCGATAACTTCGAAAACTGGGAGAAACTTGTTCGCGCTGCGGAGGGGCAGGAAGGGGGAATCAATCGCAACTCTAATCCCCAGGCTATCACGGCCACAAGAAGTGTATATGACCGGTTCCTGGCTAAGTTTCCGTTATTGTTCGGCTATTGGAAGAAATATGCAGATTTGGAATTTTCGATCGCGGGGACTGAAGCGGCGGAAATGGTACGTTGTCACAATTTTTATGTCTGATTTCTCCATTTTTGTAGTTTCGTTTTTTGCCTTGTCTTGGTTCCTTTTTGATCCAATACTCCCAATATATTCCCAATTTGAATGGCAAATTAACAGTGTTCTCTGGCAGGTTTATGAACGGGGTGTTGCAAGCATAACAAATTCTGTAGATCTATGGACCAATTACTGCGCTTTTAAAGTCGAAACTTCCCACGATGCAGATATAATTCGAGAGTAAGTATGGCCGTGTTGGTTTCCTTCCCTATAACTATGCCAACACAGCGCCGATCTTGTTGTGATCGCGAGGACAAGAGGTGTAGACAAGTATCATCAACAAAAGTTCCTCGATGGGTGAGATAGTCATCTGGTACCCAGGTTCCCTTGAAACTTCTTCTCACCCTTGAGTTTCAGGCTCTTGTTTTTTCTTCGCACAACAATTATATTGTTCGGGGATCCTTCTATTGGCGCACGATTATATACCACTCTCCGTTGACCTTGACCCAGTTGGGCCCTTCACTGAAGACTTACTGCATATGCCATGTTTGCCATCCTTCACACTCCCTTATTTCTTCCCCTCCCATTCTTCCCCCATCGATTGTATTGAATGCAAATCAGCTGACACGGATGGAAACAGACTATTCGATAGGGGTGTTAGTTGCGTTGGGCTTGACTTCTTAGCCCATCCGTTCTGGGATAAGTATATCGAATTTGAGGAACGTCTTGAAGCCCAAGACAAAATTTTCGCCATTCTGGGCAATGTAATAGACATTCCAATGCATCAGTACGCCAGATATTTTGAACGATATCGCCAAATGGCTCAAACTCGCCCAGTCTCAGAGTTAGTTCCGCCCGAGCTTCTCAGCCAATTCCGCGCGGAGGTGGACGGTGCAGCAGCCGGTATTCCTCCAGGATCAAAGAGCGAGGCTGAAATAGAGAGGGATCTTCGCCTCCGGATTGATACCTACCACCTGGAGATATTTTCAAGAACGCAGACTGAGACCACCAAAAGATGGACGTACGAATCAGAAATAAAGCGACCATATTTCCATGTAACCGAGCTAGATGAAGCACAACTGTCCAATTGGAGGAAGTATCTAGATTTTGAAGAAGCAGATGGCACTTTTGCCAGAGTTCAATTCTTGTATGAGCGCTGTCTCGTTACATGTGCGCATTATGATGAATTCTGGCTTCGATATGCTCGGTGGATGCTAGCCCAAGAAGGTAAAGAAGAAGAAGTTCGGAATATATACCAACGTGCAAGCACATTATATGTTCCTATTTCGCGCCCTGAAGTGCGTTTACATTATGCATATTTCGAAGAATTAAACGGTCGTGTTGACGTCGCGAAAGATATCCATTCCGCAATTTTGCTGACGCTACCTGGCCATATCGAGACTATTGTATCGCTAGCAAACCTATCACGCCGTCATGGGGGTCTCGAGGCTGCGATAGAGATTTACAAGTCCCAACTTGATTCTCCCCAGTGCGATATCCAAGCCAAAGCTGCATTCGTGGCAGAATGGGCCAAACTGCTATGGAAGATTAAGGGGTTGCCAGATGATGCACGACAAGTATTCCAGAAGAACCAGCAATGGTACCCGGATAGTCGCCCTTTCTGGACAAGCTATTTGATGTTTGAACTCGAACAACCTACCAGTGCGGAAACCGAGGATGTGCAGTATCAACGAATCAAACAAGTGATTGGTGATATTCGAACGAAGAGCAGTCTCCCGCTAGCCGTTGCGAAAGAGCTTGTTCAAGTTTACATGGTGTATTTGTTGGAGCGTGGCTCCAATGAAGCTGCGAAGGAGTATATGACTTTGGACCGTGAGGTCAATGGTCCCCAGTCTGTTGAGGCAACGCTCAAACCGTTAGCAGACAAAGATATTCAAGTTAAGATTCCTGCCAACCAAAACGGAAGTCAAGCCCCTCTTGTTGCGGATTCCGTGGGCCAGCCAGACCAGAACCCACACAAGAACCACCAGCAACTAACGGAGCGTCCTGTCTCATCGAATGGAAGTGTATAACACCTGTTTCTTACACTGTTTCCTTTGCTTTTTGCTGATAGTTTCGATAAACGCCAATCCAGCCGGTGCGGTATTTGTGATTTAGTAATTAGTTGCGCTGGCACTTCTCTTTTTGTTTCTCTTCATCCATTACAAAGTGATTGCAAAATTTTCATGTCGCGATTTTCTCAGTTTAGTCATGGGGGCTGGGAGGCAATATTGACGGAATAGCTAGGGCAGGGGAAGGATTTAATGGAATTTGACTGTGGGCCACACCCGTGAAATGCCAGATCTCGGCTAACTCACACCGCTGCTTATATATGGAATGCTCGCTGTCTCTCAATGGTTGGATGAATACGAAATGTACTTTATTATGTTTTTCCAATGTTCCTAGTTTTGATAGTGCTTTTTGATTCACCACGGTCGAACTAGTGAAGTTCAACCGCCCTGAGGGCGATCAGAGCTTCACGCTATCTACAATAGCCTGAAATGTAGAACATTTGTTTTCTTTCACAAGGCTCAAGTTGAATTAGTAATAGAATCTTTGCAAAGCTCTATTCTCAACTTTTCTCCCTTAGATCCGAGTACCCTTTAGGGGTTGGAGCTGCTGCTGCTGACTAATATCTTAGAAGAGTCACATGACCACGCATTAGTTAACTTCACGACGAGTCGCATGGAATTGTTTGCTCTAACCAAACTCTTTAAATCCCCAAGAACATCTGGGATCCGACAAAAAGCATGGATAAAATTATTGCGAATGGCTATACCGATTTATCCCTCCCCGGGCCACCCTCAGGGCCACCTCCAGAACCCTTTGAACGTCCTCCTACACCACCACCTCCGCCTCCCGAATCGTTAGTACCTCCGCCGCACCCAGATTCTATAGCTCCCCCTCCACCCCCTGAAGAAGCCCCGCCGCCAGCGCCTCCGGTAGCTAAGAAAACTAAAGTGGGGTGGGGATCAAAGCCGTCAGCTACGCCCCTAAGCGTTGAGGAACTACTAAGAAAGAAGCGGGAAGCAGATGAAGCCGCATCAAAGGTGGGTGAATAAATAGACCTCCCTCATTTTTTACCATTTTATACCATTATTTCCTCTTTCTCATAATTGTGCTGTTTGTTTACAATGAGTATTCAGCTTCTTAGAAACTTTAACTTTTCCTCGACTTAGAAACAAAATGGATACTGACCGTCTATCAATATTCTTTTCGATACATTTAGCCTACATTTTTATCAAAAGCGCAGAGAGAAAAGCTTGCGCTAGAGAAGCGCGCGAAAGAAGTCGAAAATGAACGACGCCTGAAAGCAAATGGAACCACGAGCACCTCGTCTCGGGGTTCAGAAGCGAATGGTTACGCTTTCTCAACATCAAGATACGATGCTACGGATGTCCCGTCCCGTCCTTCCATCCCCACGGGACCTCGAAGTTTGCGACAGGCGGAAATCCCTACTGCCCCGGCTGCGATGCGATCGAAGCACAATGATATGCCTCCACCATCAGGTCCAAAGACGGAACAGAAGGGAGGAAAGCGACCTTCCCCAGAAGAAGCACAAGCCGCGCTGATACGACAACGTTATATGGGTGTTGACCAAACCTCGAACTTCTCGGCGAAGAAAAAACGAAGACGGACAACTGAGAGAAAGTTTAATTTTGAGTGGAATGCAGATGAAGATACTAGCCCGGATTACAATCCTCTCTACCAAAACCGATCCACGACCAATTTCTTTGGTCGTGGCCGCTTAGCCGGATTTGGTGACGAGGCTGCTGATGCAGTTGCGAGAAACTATGCAAGAGCACTAGAGGATAGAGATCCGGAGGCAGGGAGCGCCAGAGCCAGGGAGATATTGGAAATGGAAAGAAGACGCAAAGAAGAGGGTGGGAGGCATGCTCTGGATGCTCATTGGAGTGAGAAAAAGTTGGAGCACATGCGCGAAAGAGACTGGAGAATTTTCAAAGAAGATTTCAACATAAGTACGAAAGGAGGAAGTGTCCCCAATCCCATGCGGTCGTGGGCTGAATCTGGGCTTCCGAAGCGCCTTCTTAGCATTATCGACAAGGTTGGATACACAGATCCTTCACCTATTCAGCGAGCTGCTATACCGATCGCGTTGCAAAATCGAGACCTCATTGGTGTTGCTGTTACTGGTTCCGGAAAGACTGCCGCATTCTTGCTCCCTTTGCTTGTCTACATTGGTGAACTCCCACGACTGGATGAGTTTGAATGGAGAAGAAACGATGGTCCATATGCTATCATTTTAGCGCCCACCCGTGAATTGGCTCAACAGATTGAAATCGAAGCCAAGAAATTCTCCACCCCTCTTGGCTTCAACGTCGTCAGTATCGTGGGCGGTCACTCTTTAGAAGAACAAGCCTACAGTTTACGAAACGGTGCAGAGATCATCATTGCCACCCCTGGCCGTCTTGTAGACTGCATCGAAAGACGAATGATCGTTTTAAGCCAATGCTGCTACGTCATCATGGACGAAGCAGATCGCATGATCGATCTCGGCTTCGAAGAACCCGTGAACAAGATTCTTGACGCTCTCCCCGTCGCTAACGAGAAACCCGACACCGAAGACGCAGAAAACCCACAAGCAATGAGCCAACACATTGGCGGCAAGGACCGCTACCGTCAAACTATGATGTATACAGCCACCATGCCTTCAGCCGTCGAGCGAATTGCGCGCAAATACCTCCGACGGCCCGCGATCGTCACAATCGGCAACGTCGGCGAAGCCGTTGACACAGTCGAGCAACGCGTCGAATTCGTTTCTGGTGAAGACAAGCGCAAGAAACGTCTAGCTGAGATCCTGGCATCGCGCGAATTCCGTCCACCGATCATCGTCTTCGTCAACATTAAACGGAACTGCGATGCTGTCGCTCGAGATATCAAGAATATGGGATATTCGTCCGTCACGCTTCACGGAAGCAAAACGCAGGAGCAGCGTGAGGCTGCACTGGCGTCTGTTCGCAATGGGAATACAGATGTGCTTGTTGCGACTGATCTGGCTGGTCGTGGTATTGATGTTCCCGACGTCAGTTTGGTGGTTAATTTCAACATGGCTACAAATATCGAGAGTTATACTCATCGTATTGGTCGTACTGGGCGTGCTGGGAAGAGTGGAGTGGCAATTACGTTCTTGGGCAATGAGGACTCTGACGTCTTGTATGTTTTCTGTCCCCCTCCACTTCTCTCCTTTTACTCCTTCTACTTTCTTTTCTAGGAATATCAACTAACGTATTTTCTCCATCAAACAGATACGATCTTAAACAAATGCTTATGAAATCCTCCATTTCTCGCGTTCCCGAAGAACTCCGCAAGCATGAAGCTGCCCAGTCGAAGCCAGTACGAGGTGCTGCCTCGCAGAAGAAGATTGAAGAGAGCAGTGGATTTTCTGGGAAAGGAGGTGGAGCCGGCTGGTAAATCAGTCAGCTCTCCTCGATCTTCTTTGTGTCCTATTTTATTTCATTTTTTCATTTTTATCCATTTTTCCACTGTGATAATGTCGTTGCTGTTTTAGGGTGTACACAAATATTCTGGGCAAATGGCGTGCTCTAGACCTCTTGTATTTTATTATGAAGTCAGTTTGATATCCTCGTTCCAAATATGTGGAAACGAGATTTGAGATATATAGCAAAATGCTAATGGTAACCGGTTAACTCTTAAACATGGCTTGTATTTTATATTTCCAACGGAAATTCGTTTCTCGAGTGTCTTAAATGAGAAGAGCGGAGTTATTATTAAATATGAAGTGGTATGTATGTATCTCTTCCTGCGAGCTACTCCAAGCTCCTTGAATGGATGGCATACCAATGCTATCAACCTCAAAAATACTTTTTGAAACAGTACATTTCATTTCAACACATGACTTTTAACAACCCCATTTCTAAAGTTTCTATGGAGTAATATACCCATTGTCTTTGAGCCACTTCTCGACATCAGCCCGATCGCGCTGGAGCCAGGCAATCTTAGCACGGACACCTTCAAGACTTTGTTCAAGAGAACGGTCATATCCCTATTTATAAAACGTTTGTTAGCTCAAATATTCCTATTCGATGGTGCTTTTTCTGGAACCCCAACAAAAAGAGAGTGTGTAAAGGTAGAGATACTGACCTTTTGGTCCTTATCCTTAAAGAAAGCCTCAACATCATGAAGTTGCGCCTCCGTCGAGAAGCTTCCTGTGCAGATTTGTATCACAGAGCGCAACATTCCAAACGCAGCAGGCAATCGCTTGTTAATAGTTTCCCAATTCTGCTTGAGCCATTCCCATCTGGCAATGATACCACTCGCGTGCACTTGTAGCCCAGAGATCGGCATATAGACATCCTGGGCTCTCACTTCCTCCGAAAGGGCAAGAGCAAGAGTCTTTTGGATCAACTCAGGCTTTCCTGCGCTGCCTAAGCAGCGGAGCGCCGTGGTCTTCTCCGCAGCAGTTGGAGCATTGAGGTACCATTGGAGGACAACGTTGTACTCCTTTTCACCGCCATCTCGAAGCACAATATCGAACACACTTCCTTGGATGTTGGGATGGATAGCAACATGATCACCGTCTGAAAAACGATTAAACATGTCCTTTGCAGCCCTCATGACCTCCGGATCCCCAGATGATCCAGCAGCGCTAAACAACAACGTTTTGAATTGCTGCAGAATGTGGCCATCGCTCCCAGAGAATGTCCAGCCAAGTTCATGTGCTTTTGCGCTGACGAGAGAGCGCTGGAATGACTTCAGAGCATCTTTAACCTTGCTATCTTCAAATACCCAGGCGCCACGGATGGAACCGATACGAGTGAGGATTTCGTTCCACACAACATATTCCGATTCACTATCAAATGCTTTCAGCAGGGAAAGAATGCCGGATGTTTTTTGATATCCTGGGGCAGCCAATGCCCCAGCATCAGCGATCATTCCGGCCCTGTCTTCCACGGTTAAGAGTCCATCTTTCGCGGCTTTTCCAAGTTTTTCAAGGCGTTCTGGAGTATATGAGGTCCGGAAAATTCCAGAGTGATCGGCATTAATCTTGAAGAAATCTAGGTCTGGGATTTTGAACTCCGCTTGACGGTCAGTAAGAATGAGTGCTTCCTCAATACCCTCACGAGTCTTCAAGCCAAGCATCACGGGGAATAGGATCTTGTCTTCTTCTGGCTTGACATCACCAGTTCGCAGAAAGCGGTTTTGCTTCACGGATATCGATCCCTTGCTTGCGTTTTCAGAAACAGTGAGAACTGGGAATCCGACGTTCTTGGTCCAGATGTCCATCACCGACTCGACAGGTTTCCCACTGGCTTTACTTAGAGCTGCCCACAAGTCACTAGTTTTGGTGTTTTTGTAGGCGTGCTCTTTGATATAGACCCTAACTCCCTGAATGAACTGTTCTTCACCAATGTACTTGGAAATCATTCTGAGCACAGATGATCCCTTTGAATAAGAGATAGCATCGAAAATCTGGTTGACCTCATGTGCACGCTTGACAGGAATTTTCAATAGGATGGCTGCTTCGCAGCGAATCGAGAGACAAAGCCATCTGAAGGTTATCGATAACATAAGATTCCCACACTTTCCACTCGGGATAGAAGACATTGCATGAATACCAAGACATCCAAGTTGCAAATCCTTCGTTAAGCCAGAGGCCATCCCAGAAATCCATTGTGACAAGGTTGCCAAACCATTGGTGAGCCAACTCATGTTGCACCACTTCCGCAACCCGTTGTTTAGTAGCGGCACCAGCAGTTTTTTCATCGTAAAGAACATCCGTAATGCGGTAGGTGATCAAACCCCAATTCTCCATTGCACCAGCAGAAAAGTCTGGCACCGCAACCAGGTCCATTTTTGGAAGAGGAAACTGGCTGTTAAATGCCTTTTCGTAAAATTCGAGGGTCTTGGCCGAAAGATCAAGGGCGAATCCTCCGTGACCGATATTTTGATCTGGAGTAGCATAGACGCGGATAGGTACTCTGAAGTCGTTGGTCTCAATATAATTGAGTTCACCAACGATGAAGGCAATAAGATATGTTGACATCAGGGGGGACTTGTTGAATTTGACAGCTTTTTTCGTAACCCCAGTGAACGTAGACTTCACTTCAGTCTCCGATGCTACATCCATATTGCTCAAACAAGTCAAATTCTTATCCGCGATCAGGGTGACGGTAAACGTAGCCTTCAGAGCAGGTTCGTCAAAACAAGGGAATGCCCTTCGAGCATCAGTAGGCTCCATTTGGCTGGCAGCCATGTATTTTTGCTCTCCGTTAACACCCTTGTAGGAGCATCTATAGAATCCAGCCATGTTATCACCCAGAGTTCCCGCGAAGGTCAGCTTCAATTGAGCCTTAGCTCCCGCTGTAATCATCTTATCGAAGCTAATAGTGGCGGTTTCATTGTCCTCATCCAGGGTGACTGATGGATTGGAAGCCACCTCGACTCCATTAGCAGACACAGCACAGGAATGGATAGTGATACCTATGGCATTGAGGGAAATGGAGTTGGTATCTTCAACGGCATCAAGGCTATATATATATATATATATACAGGAAGATATGCAGTCAGTAAGAAAGTGATACAGACACCCGTGCACTTCATGACGATCTTTATTTGGAGCAAACTTCAAGTCACGTACTCTATGTTAACGGTCCCCTCGAAAGTAAAATTATTGAAATCCGGCTCCAAAGTCAAGTCATAGTGCAGCGGCTTGACATTGGTAGGAAGAACCTGCCGGTCAGCCACTGCCGCCGTGGCCCCTCCTGCAGGGTCATCTCCTTGTCTTGCGAGGCACATCCTTCGATAGGAGCAATATCTCTTGGTCAGACGGGCAAAAGTTGTACGAAGGGTATGCCGAAATCGGGAACGTAGAGG